TAACAAATTTCATAACAAATTGTAAAAAAAAAAAAATCACTTTAATGGACAATTTCCATTTAAAACAAAATCAAACGAACACTAAATTTTGATAAAAAAAATGATTTTTTAGAAAATTGTTTTTTCCTTTTTTTTTTTACTCTTTGACAATAGAAACAAATTTTATAACCAATTGTGAAAACATTATCACTTTAATGAACAATTTTCATGTAAAATAAACACAAAATTTTAAAATTTTCTAGGTGGAAAATTATACCAATCAAACACACTTAATTTTAAAATTTTTCGGAGCGGGGATTGCGTCAAGGCTGCCCTTTATCGCCATATTTATTCATTCTTTGTTCGGAAAGATTATCATCTCTTATTCGTTCAAAAGAGGTCTCAGGTGCTATCCATGGTTGTAAAATTGCAAGGACTGCCCCTCCTATTACTCATCTTTTCTTCGCGGTTGATAGTTTGTTGTTTTTTCGAGCAAATACAAGGGAATGTGATGAAATTAAGGAGCTTCTATGCATATACGAAATAGAATCTGGCCAATCCATCAACTATTATAAATCTACTTTATTTTTCAGCAATGATGTTGAACCTATTAGGCAGATTGCTATTCGCTCTAATTTGGGTATCCAGGCGTTCCAAGGTCATGACAAATACCTTGGTTTGCCATCTATTATTGGAAGAAAGAAAAGAGAAGTGTTCTCTCTCATTAAAGATCGGTTTTGGCAACGAGTGCAAGGATGGAAAGAGAAGTGCCTATCTAGAGCGGGAAAAGAGATCCTTATCAAGATCGTCGCCCAAGCTGTCCCTAATTTCGTTATGAGTGTGTTCTTGATCCCTACTCAACTTTGTGAAGAACTCAAGAGAATCATGAACAAATTTTGGTGGCAATCTAATCAAGGGGGAAAAAGAGGCATCAATTGGACTGCGTGGGATAAACTTTGCCTCCCAAATCTAAAGGTGGCATGGGATTCAAGAAACTGCATGAAACTAATCTAGCTCTACTTGGGAAGACTGGTTGGAAGCTACTTACACAACCCACATCTTTGGTTGCTCAGATTTATAAGGCACGCTATTTTTCTACATCATCATTTTTGGAAGCTAACATTGGCTATAGGCCAAGCTATATCTGGCGTAGTATAATTGCTGCTCAATCTATTTTGAAAAATGGTTGTAGATTCCGATCGATTAGAATATGGCACGACTCTTAGCTTCCTAACCCCAATCAAGGTTTTGTAACTTCAGAACCAAGACCTGGGAGAGAAGATGCCACTGTGAATCAACTTTTCATAGCAGGTGAGAACAGTTGGGATTATAACCTTCTTGCTAATCTTTTCAATGAGGTAGATCGTGGCCAGATCACAAAAATCCCCTTAACAAAACATGGGAGGGAAGATCGAATGTACTGGATTCATGACAAAAAGGGTGTTTACACAGTCAGAAGTGGATATATGTTGCTAATGGGGAATTCTTTCATACATTCTCATACTGCCATAGAGAGCTTTTGGAATAAATTTTGGAGATATAAAATTCCAGCGAAGGTTCGAAATTTACTCTGGAGGGCATTACAAAATGTTCTTCCAACAGTTGATCAGCTGAGGGCTAAAAGAGTCAATATTGAGAGTCATTGCCCGGCTTGTTTGATGCATGAAGAATATGTTCTCCATGTTTTTGTCTCTTGTGAATTTGCCCAAAACGTTTGGGAGGCCGTTGGAGTAGCCGATTCATCTCTATTGGTTGCAAATAATTTGCCCAAAAGAATGGCTCTTAGATATCCTTAAAAATCATCACCAAAAACAAGAGATTATCGCTACGATTTGTTGGGCCATCTGGATGAACCGAAATGAAACTGTTTGGAATGCTAAGTCGTTTACAATGCTTAAAGTGGTGTCTTTTGCAAAAAAATTCCTCCAGCAATGGCGTGTTGCTAACCATTCCTTACCAAAAATCACAGCTAATTCCAGCAGACCGGAGAATGATACATTGAAACCACCTACTATAGGTTCCTTTAAATTAAATATTGATGCAGCCATCTTTGAAAACCAAAGGAAGGCTGGGCTCGGCCCTATTATTAGGAACGATTTGGGGTCATTTATTGCTGCCAGAGTTGTTTCTGTACAAGCATTGTTGATCCACTTTTAGCCGAGACTTTGGGGGTTCGGGAGGCCCTTTCTTGGATTAAAGCTAAATTTCCTGAGGTCCAAACCATTGAAATGGATGCCCTTCTGGTTTATAATGCTCTACAGAATGATGAAGAGGACAATTCTTACTTTGGTATTCTTATTGACGAGTGCCATCTTTTTGTTAGAGAATTATCAAATCTCAAATTCAGCTGGGTTCAGAGATCGGCTAAGCAACTAGCTCACACGCTTGCTAAGGCCGCTAGCTCATTACATGTTAATGTTGAATGGTCTTATTTTCCGCCTTTGTTTATTTCAAATGTACTGTTTGCCGATTTGATGAATGAATAACTTTATTTCCCTCAAAAAAAAATTAACAATTCCCTACAAAATAATTTATAGGCAATTTTTTTCTCTGGAATTCATTTTCTTTTCACTCATTTTTCATTCTTGCAATCAAACAGACCCTTAATTATTATTATTGCTGAATTCAAGATTATAACCATGGATAAAATATTTAATGTGAAAGAAACGACATTAATTTGAACAAGAAAGTTAATAGTATTACTTCCGTTTCACGGTAAGAAGATAATAAACTTAAGCTTTAATTGTGTCATTTGCAAGCTAATGACTTGGTTCATCTTCCTCGTTTACATCCATTTGATCAGTATATATTTTTAATAAACAGAAATTTTTGACCATTAATTAGTTATTAATTAAACATAAATATAATAAAAACGACATCCGCTTCTGCAGGATAATGGTTAAGCAACTTCTTGAATATCAGTTACGATAGGCGGCTAGGAATGAAAAGTCATCAACTTGAGTAATTTTCACTCTTTGCATTCCACCAACTGCGAAAATGCATTCATAAAATATTAAACTCGACTCGTTAGCTCGTTTTAAAAGTGACAAAGACTTCTGTTTCTACTTATAAAAAAGTTTTTTGAGGAAGTTATCTTAAATTACTAGGTGCAAGCAACGTGCAATGCACGTTTGCTTAGTTTATATTTAATAGTTTTGTTTAAGAATTAATTTGTTATTAATAAAGATGTAATTTTTTTGGTTAATTAAATAATTAATAATGTAATGTTTATGTAATTGATAAATAATTAGATGTGTGATATTGATGTTGTAATGTAAGTTGGTGAGATCGAAGAAAATAAGCAAAAGTTGACAAATTTGGAGAAATTGCTAAATTGTAAGGGATCCAAAATTCGGGGACTAAAATGTAAATACTTAAAAGTTGTGCCGAACCTCACGATGAAGATTTGAGAGTGCTCAGAGTCAATTGGATAAAGAAAGACGTCAATGGAATCAAATTTAGTCAAAAGATAATCACAAATCAATTTACAACCGAAAAGTTATGCTCCGATATTTTAGTCTCATATTGAGACCTATTTTTGGCATAGAAAGTGATCGAATTGGAGAATGATGTTTGAATCAAAGTTGTAGCCAGATGAGTTAGCTTTCCAACGCATTTTGAATCACCTCAATCGGACATCAGAATACAAAGTTATGATAAAAATACTGAAAGAAGGTGCAGCTGCCTGTTTAAGACAAAAAATTCCGTTACATAATCCGTTAAAACAACAAATTCCGTTAATTTTTCCGTTAAAATAAGAAATTCCGTTACATAGCCACTTTTAATATATAGAAGATCTTCTGGTGAGAATCATTTATTCATTCAAACATATTTAAAAGCAACTTCTTAGACACGAAGAGCTTTTGATTTTTCATAAGCGATGCCAATCGAATCGTTTTCAAATAAGAGACGGGCAAAGTTTAAAGCATGTCTGAGCAATGTGCATTTTCAAAACAATCATTTATTTACCTGTGTTGTGGCGGCACCGCCGCCAGCAAGTGCTGATACATTCCTACGTGAAGTTCACCAACTTAGATTAAATCACAAGTAATCGGCCACCAATTTCGTTGACGATATCTGAGGATCTCCTTGTATATATAGTAAGCCTACAACCTTAAGAAAGTCAAATAATCCAATTACCTGTCACACCCTTTCTTCATAAGTTCAGAAACTCATTTTTCTAATCGTCAAAAAGAATTCACCCTTGCAAAAAAAGGCGCATGGGGCCTAAATCATTGAATAATTATGGTTGTGCTATGCTAATGGCGAAGATTTTTTGCTGTTTGATCATGGCAAACTCAAGCACCACTGGTCATCGAGACATGTCTACTGCCGTTCTTATTAGGGTTGATCAGTCTGGCGAAGGAGACTTTACAAAAATACAGGATGCTATTGACTCCGTTCCATCGAACAATTCAGCGTTAGTTTTTATCTGGGTCAAGCCTGGAACATACAGGTTTGTTCTAGATTCCATTACCCGATAGTCATAGTAATGGTGCATGAACAACCCATTTTTCTTTTTTTATTTTCTTGACGAAACAATCAGTCAAACTTAAACGATATTATCAGGTTGATTTGGTCCTCTAAGGACCGCCCATGTTTTGATTTCAAGTGGAATAGGGTCTCCAGTGGAGATGTAGTTTCCTCTCCATCCACTACTATCCAATCTTTCGTATTAAACATGTCATTAACTCGTTTTTTTCATTTTAATAATTGTTATTCTCGAGCAGAGAAAAGATTGTTGTGCCTGCTGATAAGCCCTTCATTACATTGAGTGGAACTCTTGCCTCGACCACTGTGATAACTTGGAATGACGGTGGAGATGTACTTTCTGACTCACCAACAGTCAAAGTATCAGCTTCCGATTTTGTTGGACGATATTTAACATTTCAGGTACTCCAAAAATTTAAAGAGTGGTGCTATGTGTAGACACACTTTTTTACACAATGTTTTACACCTCCCTCACATGGAGGGGGGCCCACGATTATTTTATTATGTGTTGGCCCCCCTCCATTTGAGGGGGGTGTAAAACATTGTGTACACATAGCTTTATTCTCCTCGTTTACATCCATTTGATCAGTATATATTTTTAATAAACAGAAATTTTTGACCATTAATTAGTTATTAATTAAACATAAATATAATAAAAACGACATCCGCTTCTGCAGGATAATGGTTAAGCAACTTCTTGAATATCAGTTACGATAGGCGGCTAGGAATGAAAAGTCATCAACTTGAGTAATTTTCACTCTTTGCATTCCACCAACTGCGAAAATGCATTCATAAAATATTAAACTCGACTCGTTAGCTCGTTTTAAAAGTGACAAAGACTTCTGTTTCTACTTATAAAAATGTTTTTTGAGGAAGTTATCTTAAATTATCTTCTGGTGAGAATCATTTATTCATTCAAACATATTTAAAAGCAACTTCTTAGACACGAAGAGCTTTTGATTTTTCAGAAGCGATGCCAATCGAATCGTTTTCAAATAAGAGACGGGCAAAGTTTAAAGCATGTCTGAGCAATGTGCATTTTCAAAACAATCATTTATTTACCTGTGTTGTGGCGGCACCGCCGCCAGCAAGTGCTGATACATTCCTACGTGAAGTTCACCAACTTAGATTAAATCACAAGTAATCGGCCACCAATTTCGTTGACGATATCTGAGGATCTCCTTGTATATATAGTAAGCCTACAACCTTAAGAAAGTCAAATAATCCAATTACCTGTCACACCCTTTCTTCATAAGTTCAGAAACTCATTTTTCTAATCGTCAAAAAGAATTCACCCTTGCAAAAAAAGGCGCATGGGGCCTAAATCATTGAATAATTATGGTTGTGCTATGCTAATGGCGAAGATTTTTTGCTGTTTGATCATGGCAAACTCAAGCACCACTGGTCATCGAGACATGTCTACTGCCATTCTTATTAGGGTTGATCAGTCTGGCAAAGGAGACTTTACAAAAATACAGGATGCTATTGACTCCGTTCCATCGAACAATTCAGCGTTAGTTTTTATCTGGGTCAAGCCTGGAACATACAGGTTTGTTCTAAATTCCATTACTCGATAGTCATAGTAATGGTGCATGAACAACCCATTTTTCTTTTTTTATTTTCTTGACGAAACGATCAGTCAAACTTAAACGATATTATCAGGTTGATATGGTCCTCTAAGGACCGCCCATGTTTTGATTTCAAGTGGAATAGGGTCTCCAGTGCACATGTAGTTTCCTCTCCATCCAGTACTATCCAATCTTCCGTATCAAACGTGTCATTAACTCGCTTTTTTCATTTTTTATTTGACCATAATTGTTATACTCGAGCAGAGAAAAGATTGTTGTGCCTGCTGATAAGCCCTTCATTACATTGAGTGGAACTCTTGCCTCGACCACTATTATAACTTGGAATGATGGTGGAGATGTACTTTCTGGCTCACCAACAGTCAAAGTATCAGCTTCCGATTTTGTTGGACGATATTTAACATTTCAGGTACTCTAAAAATTTAAAATCTATCAAAAATTCTATTGGTGATTGCCAATTAATTTCGTGATCCAATCGATGATGGATTATTTACAGAATACATATGGAAAAAAAGGCAAAGGTGTTGCATTGAGTGTTACTGGAGATAGAGCTGCATTCTATGGTTGCAGAATCCTCTCCTATCAAGATACTCTACTAGATGATGCAGGTCGACACTACTACAAAAATTGTTACATCGAAGGAGCTACTGATTTCATATTTGGAAATGCGGCCTCTCTTTTCGAAGTGAGTTATCGAATAAACTTAGTCCGTTTGGCATGATTTGTGTACACATAGCTTTATTCAAATTTAAAATCTATCAAAAATTCTATTGGTGATTGCCAATTAATTTCGTGATCCAATCGACGATGGATTATTTACAGAATACATATGGAAAAAAAGGCAAAGGTGTTGCATTGAGTGTTACTGGAGATAGAGTTGCATTCTATGGTTGCAGAATCCTCTCCTATCAAGATACTCTACTAGATGATGCAGGTCGACACTACTACAAAAATTGTTACATCGAAGGAGCTACTGATTTCATATTTGGAAATGCAGCCTCTCTTTTCGAAGTGAGTTATCAAATAAACTTAGTCCGTTTGGCATGACTTTTGAAAATCAAAAGTACTATGTCTTACTGGAAAATCTTTTAGAGCAAGGTGACGTAAGGTAGCTTCATCAAAAAACTCTTCGTAGATGAAGCAAAAGCAAAAGCAGAAACTCAACCAAACGAACCCTTATTCATGTTCAATCTAACGTACCAAATGTATGTTAAGGTGATATTTGATTATTATTTTTTTGTTAAGGACAGAGGTGCCGTCTTCATTCAATTTCGGGCGGAAATGGAGCCATCACTGCACAAAAAAGAGAGTTTCCAACTGAGAATACTGGCTTTGTGTTCTTAGGTTGTAAAATAACTGGAAATGGAAATGGAAGCGCTCTACTCGGAAGACCATGGGGTTCCTATTCGAGGGTCGTGTTTGCCCTGTCATACATGTCTAGTGTTGTACAGTCGGAAGGATGGAATGATTGGGGAGACCAAAACAAGCAAAGGTACATATCACGATCTATTTTCATATTTTACTCCTTTTTTTAAAATGAAACTTACTTCTCTACTCTGGTATCATATGACAGTTCAGTATATTATGGTGAATACAAGTGTTACGGTCCGGGGGCTAATAGAGCAAAAAGGGTAAATTGGTCACATAATTTATCAAATGAGGAGGCTTCTCTATTCCTGAACAAGAACATGATTGGAGGGAGAGGTTGGCTAAGACCCGCACCAACTCGGTTTAAAAGGGGCTCAACCATCCTTAAGAAACCAAATTGAGAAATTTGAATCTTTATTTCGGAAAAATTGAAATAATTTTATCTCTATCATACGTTATTTGTGTATATACCTTCTATAGCAATATAACCATTTCTATTACTCAAGACTTATGAAAACAGATTGTATAATATGTTTATAACCTCGGAATTATTTAACTTTGTGATCCTCGCTTTCTTGGACCGTCTCTTGACCATGATTGATTGTCCTTGGAGAACAATACGTTCGTCCATATCTGATTTAACTTAAATAGTTGATTAATATCTAAACCAAAATCAAAAATTAATTCTAACAACACATTTCATAACATCACCAACTTTTATCAAATTTTCAACCTTAAAATCGATTGAAAATTTGATTGGTGACTACATCAAACAGGGACTATCTTTAATTCCTGCATTAAAGCAGAGGAAGTATATCTCTAATTACTATATTGCTCCAAGTGGTCCCACAAAAGAATCATTTCGCATATTGATATAGACATTACTACACAATGAACAAACATCTCACATCATTTCGGTTATTATGTATCTATTGTCATCGAGTTTGATACCCCAATCACGCCCATTTATGGTCATTATCAAAATCTTCCAGTAACAAACATCAAGGTCAACATTGTACACCGTCTCCAGACGGTAAAAGGATTTTTTTTTTTTTGCTTTTGATGCAACGCAAAGTAGGGCCAGGGATGGCAGTGATCTCCATCAGGTCCTAATTAAGTACAACATTCAATCTTATGCAAGCATGAAACAGATTGGCAATCACAAAAGAATCTTCCACAAAGTGTCAAAAAATGTTTTCTGCACTTTTCTCCTGCATACAATTTGGCAACGAAAATAACGGCGCACAATTGAACTATAATTCTTCTAACTCCGTGTTCAGGTCCATTCTAAACTTCTATAAATACAAATATCATTAACTAAAATCTGCAACGCCAGTGCTGGTTTCTCATACGGCCCCCTCCTATTACTCCCATCAACTAAATTTCTCTGCATTCAATTTAGTCTAACCAGGAGAACTTCAGTCTGCTCGGGAGCTGCTGGGGCTAGCAGAAGCTTTCTTCCCACTGTACTTCTGTTACAAATCAAAAAATAAACATTTAAACTTACAAAGGAGCGCATAGTTTGAAGGATTGATTAGTAATGATAACCAGTCCAGCGTATCCAGTGTTTGGTTGCATTTCATGAAATCTAGATTACAGGTCCACCCAAATATCCAACAACTCCATGACCCAAACGAGACCTTAAGAAACTCTTAAAGCAGTCTAACTAGTAAGCCTGAACAACTAATAGGCTACAAGAAGTTTTATATCAAATAAGTATGGGGTCAACTATATAAATCGTTTTCCATTCTGTTTGGTGGATTGCTGCCTCAAGTACTAACAAGCTACACTAACAGTCATAAAAAGGACCTATTTCTAGCAACAGCATTAGTGATATTTGAAGGAGCTCACCTGCTTTCCAATACTGAATGGGATGTATCTGTACTTGATCATATGCATAATTTGGCGCTTCATTGTAAGTACAAAAAGAACAATCCAGTAGCACAACAATATTGGCCAAAAGACAGGTACATCAAAGGCCGAAAAGAAGGTCATAAAAAATGCTACACAGAAAGCCTTGGTGATGGCATACCTGAACCATAAAAATAAGAAACATTATGACCATCACTCGTGGGATTCCTTAAATGAGTATTCAAGGATATAAGATATTAACATGAATATATTAAACAGCAAGTTTACGGGTTCAATGGGCAGAAAGCACCCCAAAAGCTTTACAGCAGTGGCCAGTAACTAAATTTTATTAAAGGAAACTAGAGCACTTAATAATCTTGCTATAAAAAATTAGTGAATAATGTAACTTCGAGGAAAGAATTTGAAAGTGAAACAGCAATTTGTTACATAATATATGGGAGGTATGGAGCTATCTAGCATGGAAAAAGAAAAGGACCGAGAAACTCAATCCAGATCTGGATATTGGACATGACTAGAGTAGAAGATGCCATTAGCAGGTGCTCTATAGGCCATTTCAAAAGAATAGAAATAGAGTCCACCATGTTTAGACGAAAACATTATTCATGATGTCAGCAATAGATTTTCAAGAAAGTCCCAGGAATGAAATACTACATTTAAAAAAAATGAGAAAAAGCACGTAGAAAGCTCCCGTTCATAATTTGACCATTGACAAAACCACCACTCATAAGACATTGACTACAGAGATGATTTACCACAACGCAAAGGCAACAAGGACAATAATAAATCAAATGAGAGCAGATGTTGAGATTTTCTCTAGTTGAGCGAGGAAATGCCCTATTGTGGTTGCACTCCATTGCCATCTCAAAAAACTTAATTTTATAGATGAGTAGTAAAGCAAAAGTCACAAGCATACCACAATAATTGCAGGACATTAATATCAGATTAGAGTCAAGCCTCATGGTGACAGAATAATAGAAAAACAATCTAAAAAAATGCTATAAATAATACCAGAATTTAAACTCTGGGAGGCGGCGAATGAAAGGCTTGAATTCATCTGAACCCTTAGTGGGCAACGTAGGTCCATCCGAAGGTTCAAGCTCAGGGTCAACAAGAGGGGACAAAAAGCCAATGAGCAAATTCAGGATATAGATCCCCAATCCATACGCAATAATGTAAAACCCTTGAGCATAGAAGATCCGCAAGGCAAAAACAAATACTAAAATGGCAGTTCCAATCCACCGATAAAGAGCATGTGGGGTAGATTTATCTAAATAGTACTGGAAAAGCTTTGACGCTTCATGTCTACGTTGGTTCAGTGCTGCCGCTGCTGCTGAGGAGCCATCCCCTCCAACACCCTCCATTAAAAATCAATCAACTTCAAAATCCTACAACTATAAAGAAAAAAAAACTTGAATCAAATGATCGCCCAGTGTTTCACAAATCACAAAGGCCAAACCTATACATGCAAACTTGGCACGAAAATGCAGACTGAGAAATAAAGCAGCCGGGAATCTTGAAACTATTTAGCCTTTCAAGTGAGAATGAGGAAAATGAACCAGATTTTTCCACAATAAACAATGACGGAGGCTCAATTTCTAAAGCAAAAGAAACCCTAAAACTAAAATTGAACGACGATCAGAAGCAGATCTGATAATGGTCGATGCACAAATTAAAAAACATAATCCATAAATTAATTGCAATATAGTCATGCATTGAAGCGAATAATATCTATAAATATCTAACGAAGAAAAATAGAAAATCGTGGAAATAGGTTAACCTTCAGCGAAAATGTAGCAGGTGGAGGACAATGAATTTTCGGGATTTTGGGGACGAAAATATGTATGGGTCTGTTTGGGAGGCGGCGTTGAAATGCCACCGATTTGACTGAAATATATTCCACAAAACAAACAGGCGTGTCAGGGAAATATAATCTGGGTTAATTTCACTTCTGGTCCTCTACTTTGATTGGAGCTGTATCCGGCTCACTCGTCTTTAGTTTGATGCAACCAGATCATCTACTAAATATCTAATTTTTAATCATCACCAACTGGGCTAGATTTGTAATGTGCGTGGAATATTTTAACACTTCGAGTCGAATTGCACATGGATAGAATGAGAAAAGAGAGGTTGTAATGGTGAGCCCGTTGTCGAATGGATATGGATAGAAAACAAAAAACTAGTAATTCAGTACTAGTGGATGGACGTCGTACATTGAGAGTTCTCATTTTGTGTAAGGAGAAGTTGAAAGGATGAAAAAAAAAATATGGTATTATGAATTTTTTTCATCTAATAAAGTGTCATTCTCTTGTGGTTGTTTGAGATTTGCTAAACCCCATTAAATTCGTATGTTTCTCTAAGTCATTTTGAATTTATTTTTATTTTTTTGTTTACGATGCGCGTTTGATTGGATTATTCCCCCAACATGAATATCTTTACCACTTAGATTGATGTCGAACATCACCTATGTTGAATAACATTGTTCTATTGCATGAGACATCTATTGAAGGACTCATAAAGCTCTTTTCAAGCATTTCAAACCCACAAGTTTGTTAATATGAATCAATCAATATAAAGTTGGTATCAAGGGTTTACAAAGCTCTATTTAGACAATTGGTCCTCACGTTTTGTCCTATTGCTGAATACAATGTATAATATGTACATGAACCACATTGGACAAATCAAAAGGGTTCATTTGACAAGATTTTTACTTCTTATAAAAAAGCTTTCTTATATCTGTTTTTGTTAGCCAAAATATTACATATTAAATAATTTTATTAAATACATTAAAAAAATAGAATGAGCAATCTAAAATTACAGGAAATAACAAAAGAGCGAATGAACTTTAAAATCGAGACATGCGTAAATACGGTTTCCTTAAAACAGATTCGCCACATCACCTGGGTGCTTGAGGTTTAGTTTGAGCGTCTGTTTCCCAGAATACAATAGAAAATCAGTAGAGTCTGAGCATTGTAGATGCTATTCCGGCTAACCGACTTAATATCTAAACATTGTCACCGCCAAGACCTTGACGAAAGTGAAAATTATGTATGCAGATATGAGATAAAATTTTATGTAGAGAAGAGAAATTTTCATGTCTGTAGGTGAGGAAGATGAATAAATAAATAAGCTGTAATAGAGATTTAACATGCAGGAGTTAGTCAATGACCACCATTAAACTAATTGTTCATCTATCCATTAACACGACATAATCACATAAATCAATTGAGTTGGTTCATGCTTGGAAAAGCATTGTTGTTCTATGCGATGACGTTGATCGAATTGTGTGCGATCAATTTAAATCTAGTTGGATTGAATTACATTGTATGTAATTTCAATTGAAATAAATTGTGGATTAACGACCACTATTTTGAAAGTACTTAAACTTTCACGAAGTATTCGAATATGGACATTATCTATTTGATAAATGAATTAAACTATGAAAGAGTTGATAAACTCTATGTTCAAGTATAATCCAAAAATGTGGGGGTTAATATTAATGTTTGTAAACTTATATGAAAAGTTCAAAACT